GGCCTATCCAACTACGACTATAGCTCCGTCAACCACAACTGAAACAAGTAGGTTTATTTGTCTTTTAATTACTCGAAAATTTCTCAGTACCTTTATTGAGATCCTATGCAGGTGAGATGCCAAACACTACCACTGATTCGGAAGAAGAAATGGGACAAATGCAATATGCACGCAAATTTGGGCAAAATCCGAAAGATGAGAGTCAGTCAGTGGTACCTCTTTCATGCTTGAATGGTCTATTTTGTATCAGGACAGTTCATTCGGAAGAAATATTATAAGGAAGAGGAAGAAGAAGAGAAAGCGGCAAAGCGAAAAGACATGTTATGAAAATCCCCGCGTTTTTACAGCTAGCATCAAAAGTATTTATTTTAGGATCATGATCATAATTTTCGTTTGTCTGTGTGTAATATTCGTAGCACTCGTTGTTCTGGCTATTGTACTGGTATTGACTGGACCAAAAGATCCAATGACAAAGTGGAAAACAAGAGGGAAGACAAAGCAAAAGAAATAAGATTGAAGATCATTGAATATTGATGCTAATCAGATCACTTCGAAATATTCTTACAATGCAATTTAATGAAGTGTATCCTGTGATAAATTGCGCATTCAAGCATGGGGATGTTTAGATAATTAATCTTCTACAATGAAACTGCTTCAGATTTACATATGAGAGATCTATCCATTATACGGCAGGTTACTTCCTTCTACTGATTGGTGAGCAGCTGCTGGATAGCGCGTGTGATATACTACAAGGTGGCCCCTAACTCGCGTGAAAAAGAAGGACTGCGATTAGTACTAATTTTGGCAAAACCGTCGGGCCCCATATTAGTTTCAAAATGATTTTTATGGGAGTCGACGATAATTTTTGTAAAGCCATGGATACAGGATCCGAAAAGCTTTGAATTTTTTAGATTGGCTCTCACTGAAAGGGTTTTCATTCACTTACCGTGACGGAGAAATCGGGCGAAACCTTCGCATCTCAAAATTCGACAAAGACCGAATTTTTTTACATTCATAGTCAGACTTTTGGACCAACAAGTGGCAGGAACTGGTGAAACATCGTTTAAAAATGAGAAATGCTTACTCAAGCAGATGTTATGGGGTGCGACGGTTTTGTCGCGACAATACAAT